ACCAAAAACATGCATGTTAGGCTGATTGGTGACTCTAAATTGTCCCCAGGTGTGAGAGAGAGTGAATGGTTGTCTCATTTGTCTCTATGTGTCCCTGTGATGGACTGGAGACCTGTCCAGGGTGTCCCCTGTCTCTCGCACAGTGATAGCTGGACATGAGCACCAGTGACGCCCGTGACCCAAAAAGAAAGAGTCAGGCAAAGATGATGGATGGATGGATAAATAAATTAAACTTCACAGCTACGCATGTGTTTCTTTTTCGAGGACACTAATGCTGCTTAAAGGGTCTGGGAACAAAGAAGAGAATAATTTTTGAAAGACTGAATGCTTAAGAGATTTAACCAAAACGCTACTGATTGAGAACACTTCTTTTTTATTAATCAAAATGCAAGATGTACTTAGCACAAAGCTGATAGGTGCAGCTTTTTTTTCCACATAATTCGACACCTGATAACTTTGACTCTTTTAGGATTTAGGTTTTAAAATGTAATTTTTGAATAGTCATTTAATTTTTAACATTTTTAATTTTTTAATTTTACCTTGGTGGTCAGTACTGTTGTGGGTTGGAGTCCAGGTTGTATCAAGAAGGGCATCAAGCATAAAAATATTTTATGTAAATTCGCTCACTGTGTCAGCCCCTGCTGCAGGAGGCACCCTGTCCTCTTTAAAACCCTGGAAATAAAGATTTTAGTCATGCTGAACAACTATAATTATTAGAATTAATGTGAACGGATCAATAATCTTTCCAGACAGATTTAAAACAGCACGTTTGTTTTTTTTAAAATCTGTTTTCTCTTCAGGTTAAAGCAGAGCTGAAGCAGGAGAACCAGAGACTAAAGGATGAAAATGGAGCTTTAATCCGCGTCATCACTAAACTCTCCAAATAAAACAGGAAGCAAAAAGATGAGAGGAAGATAAAGAGCCATATTTATGTCTGTTTTTGTGCACTGAAATCATAAACTGACTTGTGAAATAAACTCTGTGTAAGTAGTTCTCCACAAATCCTGATTCCTTTGTTTTGGTGAAAAGTAATAATTAAGTTGAGACTTTTATTATTCTTTTGTATCCACTATTCAGTGATATGAAGTTCTTAAAGTAGCTATATGATGATTTTTACACCAAAAAAGTTTAAAATGTACTTTTCTGTACATTCACAAAATAAATTAATTTAACTTAACATGTTTTCCCTTCACTTTCTTCAGTGAACATATGGTTTGATGCTGAAAAATGTACTTTCAGATTTATTGTGTCATTGAAACTAAATCATTTTTCATATACATTTAAAACATGTTTATGAAGGTTCATTTTAGTAAAAAAAAAAGTGGTAGAAAATTTTCTTTAAAAAAATTATAAACACTGGAATATAGAAAAATAAAAAGGTTACAAGACATTTCAAAGGTATCCTAACAGTCATCAGTTGTGAGTAGACAGGAAGTATAAGTCATGATTTTCTTCTTTAAAGTCACATGACCGCTGAGATGTACTCCATGTATGCTAGAGAAGATGGTGTCAAAGAAAATAAAGGTAATGTGTCACCTTAAGTTGCTGTTAGTCCCACCACATACAATAAGCATCTTGGTGATTTAGTCATTCAACTTTGAGTTTTATTATAAACTTTGGCTGTTCAACACTGCCACCTACTGACTACAGTTTGAACTGCACCCTCTATGTAAACACGCAAGACTTGGCTACTTCAAAATGATTTTATTTTCCATGATTACAGATTGACGACACACAGATATACTCCCTTGGGTATCTAATTTCTACATAGAGTTATGTATGTGTACATGTTTTTGGTCTTTTGTTGCAGGAGAACAAACTTTGCAAGGAAATAAATCATGCATTTTACAAAAAGGCACAACTAGTGACACATCTACACGACAAATCAAAGTCAGGGTCAAAACGGTAAAGCGTTTACCTTCTTTATGCTACTTGGTAAAGGAATGTTGTAGCCAACAGAGGGATGTTAGTTTCTGCAATGTGACCTTGTGGACAGAAGAACATTGAAACTACAGAGAAACCATCGTGCCAGCAGCAGGGTGTCCATGTTGAGTTGCAAATGTTGATTTTTGCACCGTCTAAGACACACTTTGCTTGACAAATCCAGGAAGACAGATTCTGTTGTCTGCACTGCAGAAAATAAACTCATGCAGTTCCATAAGTGAACATAAACTAAGAGGTTCTTATTGCTATAATGCACAAAAGTGATGTTAAAGCAAATTACTTCAGCAAAAATAATGCCCCGACAGATTTTATACAGAGTGACTTAATCAGATGCATTTCCACAAAACAAAACAAAAAACTTAAGATAAACTGTGAAACATTATTATTTGTACCTTTTAACCTCTGGAATGCAGAAAAATCCCCAAAGCATTACAAAGACAATGAAGTGGAGAGTTGTTTATATGTTAGCCGTGCAATTTAAAATAAATTACTTAAAAGAACAGAGGAGAAAAAACACAACTCTAGATTAAAACATGCAAACATGCCTCACCTCCTGCTCATCTCAGAAAGTGACATTCTTTGTCAAATTATTGTGAGTTTCAGATTAAGACAAAAACAGCATCAATATGATGTAATAATTCACAAAATAAATACTGTGTAAGGAATAAAAAGTCTGTCTAGTTTGTTAAATATATGGTGACCCAAAAAAGAAAGTGTTGGGGGAGTTCAAGTTTCTTATCAAACTCTCATTTGGCCGGAAAGAATAAAAAAAAAACAAAGTTACACTGAGACATGTTTACAGACTCCTTTAGTTGGTGACATATTGTAATCAGGAATGAACAGTAATTAACTCTGACAGAGAAATATGCAACAAATCAACACACAATTAATGAGAAAACACAATTCATGCTAAACATTCAAAACTATGTGGAGTTTTATGACACACACAAAGCAATTCATCTAATAATCAGTTAGTTTGAACCTTTACTTGGACTTTTCAGTCATACATATATTTTCAGTCTGAAAAAATACATACACTTTTCAGTCAGTGCATTGTTTTTCACTCTTTTTTATTATAAAAAATGACACAAAACACAAACACACACACGCAACATTGTAATATTTCCTCTTCCAAACATGCTGCTATTTACATCACCTTGTACATAATTACATGCTGTAGCCTATTAACAAGTCGGTGCGATGCATGAGTGGAAGAAAGGGTCTGCATGCTGCAGGTCGGCTCGTTTAGATGGAAGCACAAAAAAAAAAAATCAGCAGCAATTTTCAGAGAATAATAAATGCTCCATACTTTGAGAGCATTTCACTTACTGAAAACTTAAGCTAAACCAGTTTGAATGTCCCTGTTTTGAACATTTATTTAAAGTTTGTGAGCTTCAAAGCCACCTGATGCTGTTAGGCAGGCTCTTAAGCATTGGCTGAAGTTGAAAAAAAGTGGCAGATAATTTACAGACTGATTGCACGACTGATTTTACAACAATACGCTGATAAAAATTAAATCACAGACCTATGAATCCTGCCTTAATGATTAACACATAGATCTTCTAATAGTCAAAAAGTAATTTAAACTTTATTTTACCAGTAGATTCGGTCAAATGACCACCTCAAACAGAAAAAGACAAGTGTTCCCTTAACAAAATGTAATAATTTATTTTCTTGTTTTGTCAGTAAATGTCCTGAAAGCATCACAATATTCTGTTTTCACTTTTTTCTGGAAAATGAAAGGAAAAATGAAAGGACAAGTTACAGATGAAATATTTGTCTAAAGGTGTAACATTGATCTACTGGGACATTCACAGCTTCAGCAGCGTCTGAACGGAACAGAATTCAACAGCGAAGCAAACCGTTCATGTCAAAGTGTCGTTTCAAAAAGGCACCCTTTGATTCATGTGTTAGATCTGACAGAAGAAATGTGTGTTGAACCTTAAAGACAAAGACTTTGTGGAAAGACGAGACGACAAAGACCAGCCCCACTAAACAGCTGAGAAAACAAAGATATCTACTTTTTTTTTTTAAATCTTTGCAAAAATAAATCTTGCATACAGCGACTTAAAACCGGACTCACTTTTTATGTAAATCTGCTGTTAGATATGTGCACTGACTCTTTACTCAGCACTTTCTATTGCAGGTTATAGCACACTTACAGCAAGCTATAATACTGGGTGAGCCGTGTGCAGAGCATTGGGGAATTAAGCAAAATCATGCTCTATAAACTAAACTAAAGCTTTTTATTGTCTTCACTAATAGTTTCATCCAGTTTAAGCACCCTGTAAATCAGTTTCCGTAAATCAAAAACACTCAGCAAATACATCAACAGCCCTCTTTACAGAACACACAAAGATCTGACGCCCAAGAGTTTCCTCTGATTCAATTTGAACAAGAAGATATTCTAACGTGTTTGTTTTTTTGCTGAGCAGGACTCACGACTCATTGAAGTCATGGGATTCATGCAGAACAGGATCAGGGAGGTTGGTTGTCAGGGTAAAAGCAGCAGCTGGTGGATGAAGCTTATTTCTTTGCATTCAAGGCTGCGAGCTGACCATCAATATCCTCCTCTGGCTGCAGCGCGTGCCACTGGGCGATGGGGCGGCGAGGATTCGCCAGCATGTCTGACCAGTGCTTCAAGCCTAAACCAGTGGCCTTGCTGCCCACAAAGATCTTCCCGATGGCGTCATTCTTACCTATCTTGTCGTAATCAAACACTGTGACGACCACCAGGATTTTCTAGGAAGGAAGCAGGAGAAAGTAGTTATCTCTGTGCTTTTTATCCATTTTATGCCGTTTATCAGTTTGCATTATTATTTGTGGATTTCAAAATTCTGGAGAACTGACGTCTTGAAACAAAACAAAACAAAATTGCATGGTTTCCATAAATCATGACAGAGTTCTTTTGTCATAAAAGAACAATCCTTATTGATGAATTTCTTGTAAGATTCTTTCATTTCAAACAAACTTAAACTATTAGCCAGATTCTTCCATTAAAACAACAACAACAACATGAACTAAACAAAGCCAATTCATTCAACCTTTAAATTAAATTAAATCATGAATGTGTAGGGGAACACCTCTACTCAGAAAACAGTTCACCTCAGCTCAAACAAACATCATTCATGTGTTTTGTGTTTGAAACTGTTAAAAGCAAGATTCATCATTTCCCATGAAACGGACAGATCGTTTTTAATGAGAGCTTTTGTTCAACTGACCTCGGAGTTTGAAACATCCGAATAACTCACAATGTTGATAACTTCCCTTATCGAAAAGCAGTGTTTCTCCCAGACTCTTTCCCATGAAGACAACACCATAAGAACCCTTTTGTTTGTTCAAACTGACATTCCTCTTCGAGGAGATGTTCAGTTCAACAGCGACACCTCTGTTGAAACATTGCATGTTTTAAGTTTAATTCTAAAATGTCATATGATGAATGCTTATTCATGATAATGTGTGTTTTAAGGAATCTTTATTTAAGATAATACCTTTGTCTTGTTTTATCTTTTAGAAAGAAACTTTTAAGGCAGAAAAGGGACTTTAGATTTTATAACAACAAGGCAAAAGTTAGAACCACCCCCCGAGGTGGATCAGTCCTATCTGTTTTAACACGGACAGTTACATTGCACTTTTAAGAAAACTTCAAAGAGACACACTGGGCAAAGAACTTTTAAGAGACACTCCGAAGCCTCACACGGGGCACCATAATATGTAGCGATATGGGATGTAAATATATTGTTAATAATCAGTTATGAGTTAAGCTCACAAGATATGCATGTATTATGCAAATAACCTCATTGTTTGGGCACCACCTCTCTTGGAGAGGAAAATCACTTTCAATTTACAAATGTAAGTAAACAGCAGAAGCATCCATTTAATAGCCCATCAAGCCTTCAATACCAAACAAAAGCTAAGTTTTATTTTGCACAGAGATACAGCTGATAATGCTGGTACTGCAAAAAGATAATTTTGGCCAAGGTTTGCATATTTACTCATCTGGTCAAAAACAATCTCAATAGTTTATTGTTTTAAAATCTGATTTGACACAAATGTTAGAAATCAAATGTCATTTACTTGTTCTTGTTACCATCAAAACAGACTATATGTATATCTTACTATATTTAGTAGTTCAAAATACAGCAACCAGTGCTGAATAGGTCTATGAATTAATGTCAGTTTATCATTAAAATATTATAGAAGATAATATAATGTATAAAACGTATCAAACCTGCATCTGTTCCAGTGGGATTTCAAAGCTGAATGATTCATTATAATATGGGTTGAGTGTGTTTTTCTTCACAGTTGTCTTCTTTTTCTTCAGACGTTTTCCCCCCTGCAGTAGCTGGATCTTCACATATGGATCTGAAGAGAACATCAAAAGATTAAAACAAGCATCAGGACTTTATATTCCTGCTTAGTTTGCACATCTTTAATTTTCAGATCTAAAATGTGTTTATGCAATGTTTGGATGTGTTCATAGTGATTCTTTTGAAATATTTTTATGTAACTAAATCTTTTGAACAAAGACTGTATGCTTTGGCACACAAGTCTTTGGAGTTTCATTCTACTGTTGTTATTAAAAATGCCTGAATATGTCTTTCACTACAAATACCATTTAAAGAAAATGACGTTAATGCTTTTATGTAAGTGTCTGTTGTTAATTTTGATCATTGCAAAGCTGCAGCTATAAAAACAAGTGAAAAGCTTCCAATTATGTTTAAAGCAGAGTATGCTAAACCCAAAATGCAATGATTTCTAAAGAAAGACTGAAATAAATATATATTTGTAAAACATTCATAGTTACCAATCAACATTCTTCTTGATGAATGTGAAATCTTAACAAAACCTTAAAGGGAATAAAGTATATTTTTTATTTTTTACCAGATAAGCCACAGGCATCCATCTTTTTCAGATTCTTAGCCTCCAGGATGCAGACTGTGAGTTTTCCAGCAGTGGGGACGTAACGCAGAGAGATGCAGATGTCTCCAAGTTTCTCAGGCTGAGCAGGAAAAAGACAAGCAAAGATTCTCATCAGACAATATGGAAAATATTTTATATTCCTTCTAATCCTTAAAGCCTGGCTCTAATCAAGATGATCTTGAGCAGCACCTCCTCCTGGTCAGCGCTTTCCAGGTCCCGCCATTCTTCGATTGGCCGTCCGAGGTCAATGGTGTTCATGGGTATCTTCACTTCTCCAATGACGTCATGTTTGGAGAATCGGTCATAGTCATACACAGACATCACCAACGTTTTCCCACCCAGCTCCTCATATGGCACCTGATGAAGGATACGTTTTAGTAAATATTCACAGAACATTTGACCTAAGACTTGTTATAGCAACAGTTAAACAGTAAATTAAAAAATATGCATGATAAAAAAAAAATTTGAATATTAAACGAGTAACCAAAAGAGAATGAAAACAAATGCTGTATCTAAGAAACAATATACAATTTACATAATCAATGTCACATTTATAAACTTCCACAAAACATATTCAACACAAGACAGACTTGTTTTTCCAAAACAAAAATTAAAAATGCTATTTATTTTTATTTGTTTTTTTTTTTTCAGGTGGAAATTTGCAGCTGTTGAAGATTCCAGCTTAACCCAGCATGAACAAAACACATCCATTTGATATAAACCAATTTGATGCAATCTTCTGTTTTTCCCAAACATACATATAT